CCACCACCACCACCGGGGCGAATGATTAATTTGCTAGCACTGAAAAGCGGACTTCAGACTGAAGTGGGTTGCCTTAAATTCCGCTAAATGCTATAATAATATGCTTCTTTTTCTAGCTCTTCTTCTTTTTCTTCTTCTACTGTTGTGCATTCTGCAAAACAATGGCGTTGAAATTAAAAATGAAATTCCTCTTTATGACCTTAACAAATTTGCAATCAACATAATTCCCCATGTTATGACTCTTAAGGTTTTATGTTGCGTATCGAAAAAGATTTCTGAGCCACCGAAAAAATTATGAAGAAAACTCTAAAAACTTCTAAGAGGCGGCTTCTAATTTTTTGTGTGTTCTGCTCTGTTGGCGCAACAATTTGTGGGAGGTGAAAACTATCTTGCGTTAATGGCTGAATTTAGCGTAATTAATACGCAGAGGCCGTAAATGAAGTAGAAGTAGAAGCGGCAACTCGAGGTGATCATATTTCCCATTCGGCCTCACATTGTATGGTAATTGGCTTCGAATCGGTTGGGTTCTTCTCGGTGGGTTTTTAATTTCATATGAACTGGCTTCTCGATAATTCCGCTGCTGCTATATACGCTTTTTCATATACATTTTTTGCTAATGTATAATTATGTGCTTTCTGAGTTCCAGGGAACCGCGAAAATTGCTTCGTTTTGTGGGCCAATCTTTTATTTGATTTTAATGCAAAATAAAATGGATCAGAAGTGGTTGAAAATTACCACGCTCTCGGATGAATAAATTAATTATGACTTTACAAAATCTAAGCTGTTGTGAAATATTTGTAAAGTAAACGAAATGGTTCGAAAAAGTTTAACTTAAAAGAACAAATTATTAAAAATTTGCCATTGTATCTTTTTTCCAAATGAAAGTGAAAACTAATAGCACACTTTGTCTACCTTTCACGGTGACTGTCTGCCACATGTCTGTCTTAGCGAGAACTAAAAGATTGTCATTCCATTGTCAGTTTCAAAACCAACAAACTGAAACTAAACCTGACGGAGGCCAAGTGAGATGGAGAATTTACAAACTGTCACATGCGAGAACCCCAAAGACATGTGACTGGAGTTTCTGGCAGGCGGGAGTTCGAGGTGGAGGTGCTCTGTTCAGTCGGATGGATCTACAAGTCAAATGTGCATTAAATGTGTCATTCTGTGAGGCAACTAAACCAACCGAGAGATCGAGGAGATCGCGGAGATCGGAGAGATCGGGGGATCCAAAAGAGGTTGAAACAGAAACAGTTCTATGGTCGGTTGATCGGTCGGTTGCCTGGGCTGAGGTTATATGGAGAGCTATATTGCGATGATGATGATGAATCAACAGCCGGCAAGAGGCAACAATGGCAACTCTTCAAGCTTGGACAAACATTTCACGCATCAGGCATTTTATTATGTAGAAATAAAAAAAAACACACAGAAAACAACGGCGGCATAAAAGCAAATACGACTACTAAAACTTCATGAATGGCAAATCATAGAATAGGAACATAGCTCGGTGATTTTCGCAAATCTAAATTTAGTGAAACAATGGACGGGAGAGGGAAATGGATTTTCACCGCAGATCTGACAGAGGTAAATAAACTTGATTTCTCTCCACTTCGACTTGGGTTTCATTAAGGGTTCTCCTCCACACACACAAATGACATCATACGAGGGTAAAAACAAAAAAAAAAAAAAAAAAATCAAACTTGAAAAGATATATATGCTTGTATATATCTTTTTAGAGGAGGATCGCAGAACAATGAATCGAGGAGGAGAAGAAGAAGAAAAACAACCAAAAAAGGCAGCGGCAATTTTGCGTGCAAATATCTAAGATACACTAGCCTAGATACGCTCTCAACCAAAACATCGAAAGACCCTGGTCATGATGAGGTCTATAGTCCGTCGAACAATCAGCCAGCTCGCATATGTATCCGTGAGCTATTGTATCTGCGATGTGTGCAAAATTTTTAACCCGCTGACTAAGCGTTAGATACTGCAAATTGTGATCGAATGTGAATGAAAATATATTGTTTTTGAAAAGTACTTTCCATATGAATGGAGGAAAATTAAGAGGGTGCTCGCTCGCAATACCGAATGCCATCCGAATGGTGCATAAATTCCAGCTGTGCTAAAGTGCAACACCGTAAATCATTCAACTAGTGGAAAGAAAAACAACAACTCCCCTCCCGAATCTCCTCCTCGAGCGATGATGAAACTTTGAAACATTTTCAGCTTTTTTGCGCTTCGTTGATTTCGCTTGTAGGTGTTGCACCAGTGGGAGGGTCAAATTAAATGAAGAATACACAGTAAAAATGAGAAAAAGACTCAGTTCGCTGGCCATAGCAAAAGTGAAGCGTGTTCATGACACTGTTTTTATTATTTGGAGATTTGGAAACTCGTTTGCCGAAGGCATGAACTCGATTCTTAATGTGTATAATTAATCATAATTTGTTTTTAGTTTTAATGAGTGACTTTTAAGGTCCGATTGTGAAGGTTTTTTTTTATTTTCTTCTTTGCTATTTGCTCTTTAAGCCTGGGACACCTGGATGTCATAAACGCAGGGCACTCATCTGCATAATTACCTTTTTGCAGGGCAATCTAGGAGTTAAGAGCCAGGAATCGGGTTCAAAGTGTCAACAAGTCACGCACCTAGGGACCACAGACCATCTCTATAAAGGCAATCCTCTCCAGCTGGGCTCAATCAATTTTTCACACAGCCTTTTTAGAAAGAGAGAGCCACTCTCGTATGCAAATGATCGGGGAGGGATAAAAAAGAACATCAATAATATGCAAATGCAGCAAATTAATGACTGACAAAAAGACAATCGAAACGAATTAAGAAAACCAGCCTACAAACCACTGGCCACAACACACGCTCAAACGATCCAAACTCGAATCGGATCCAATCCAAACCGATCCGAAGCGATCCGATGCGATCCGAGTCGCATAATTTGCGTAGATGCGGGTTGTGTGGCAGGGACAATGACTATCCAACTTCGGTGGAATGGGCCCCCAGACAGCGGTGGCTTATCCGCAAGATTGAAATAATAACAATGCTGACAACAGGGGCTACTTCCACAACAACAACAACAACAGCACAAATGATTGAATCAAATTGATGCCCAGAACCTAGCCACTGAAACGATCGTCATGGGCTTACATGTGCTCGTCGACACAATGACATTGATGGCGATTTGGTTTTAGTCAAGATTTAGGGTAGATATTAAGGGTCTACTTAAGAAAAGGGGAGCTTCAAGTTTGAAGCATAAGAAATGGGTATATTTCAGTTATTATTCAAAGAAGTTTTAAGACTGTAGTCTTTTAATAATAACATGAAATATATTTTAAGTGCATTTTCCTACTAAAATTCAGGTCACATAAAAAAAGAAGATTCATCCCCTCTGTTTTCTGTTTGATTAGCTAACAAATTGATTGTTTCATTAGCGGCGCACACGTCTGCGAGTGGAATATGTAAATGTTTTAACGTTTATGGTCATAATGTGTCAAAGACCATAAATTCAATTAATTTATTATAATGGCAGGAGTGGGTATGGTCTGCTTGGAGCATCGACGCCACCGCCAAGTGGAGACGACGGGTCCATGCTGGGGGTCAGTTGTTGATTAATAATCCAAAAGATATAGCGCACACTACATCATCTTGACACTGCAACTTTAACTGGAGAGACAAAAGAGCAGCCAACAATGCAGCCTGATGATGGCGATGATGTTGCTGCTGTGTTCCAATTTGTACGGCGACGCATTAAATAAATGTATCTCAATCTCAAGCTGTGCCCTGGCGTCGAATCCCCACCATTCCCCTCCCTCCCATTTTGCCACAACTCCTCCGATGCCCCTAATATGTAAACAATTTAAATAGATATTTAGATATGCTGCCTACGCTGGCGCCAAACTCACACCGACTGGCAGCTCTCGCTATTTGTTTTAAAATTTAATTTCCGTTTCAATTTCACATAAATAAATTAAAATCACAGAAATATAACTCGGATAAAATCAAAACACGCTCCACACGCTGCATTCCCCCAAAGCAAAGACATTGAAACCGAGGGGAAAAAAACAGACAAACGAGAGTATCTGTGTAAATGAATTGTTTAAATTCACTCTCAATTTGAATTTAGTTATGGATATCTACTCGTGATTTAGAGTCTTGTGCCGGATGCACTAAACACATGCCAAACAACTGTTCATCATTTGGCCAAATCGATGCGGAGGATGTGCAATAAATAAAAGTGATCGCTTAATGAGCTCCAATATCCATCTCACATCGATCGGTGTAATTTCAATATCAATATCGATTGTGGGCAATTTTTCGGGGTATTACGTTCAGGAATGTTGAATGATTTTGGTCATTCATTAAGTATTTAGTCGAGCAACAAGTAAATGAAGTATTTTACTACATTTTTACACTTTGTTGAACAGTATTTTTATCTTTTCTCCCGACTCTATTTTTCTATCCATTATCAAGACTTTTTTGCAAGACCTAACCTCTGTTCATATCTTTATGGGTCGCACATCTGTAAAATTTATGGTTTCTCATTTCTTGGAAATTAAATGAAAAAAGTAATTGTCATTCGCTCGACTTGCGATAAGGAAGTCATTGAAAGGATTATGGAATTTTAATAACTTGAATTGAGTTCTCAAGTCGTCATTGTGAATTGCTTGATAAGGTTTGCACTCAAAGCAATATCAACTTGAAAAACTAGACTCGAAACTTGATTTAAATCGGAAATAATGCGAATTGGCTGATAATACTATGCAGGAACTACTTTAACTGATTAGAGAACGGAAACGGAAGTTCGGAAATAACAAATAATCAACAGTTTGAAGGAAGTGAAAGCTTCAATTTAAAATCTATTAGATTGAAAATATTCCCATTCATTTTAATCAGGAACTCTTTGACCTTCTTTTTAGCAAAGGACCTTCACTTTCCATTCAATTTATATAATATATTTTAATATACAAAAAAGGTATCTTTAGGATTCACTTACCGTTATGCGAGTGGGGCGTGGCTGGGTGGAAGTTTTTATTATCACTGTTCGCCGCTGACGTTACATAATCCATGGACAACCGGCTACTTATGCTGCTATTGTTATTGTTATTGTTGCTGCTGCTGTTGTTGCTGTTGCTGTTGGCGGGTGGCTCGGTGGGGTAATTGGCCACCTGGTGGTCCGATCCACAGACCGAGGCAGTGGTGGCCGACTCAAAGGAATTGCCGTGCACAATATCCTCATTTGGTTTCTCGCAATCTGAAAACGGATCGAAGGGTTGGAGTGAAAGGTGGTCAACCAATTGAGTTAGTTGCATAAAAATACTAATAAAGTTTACCCCAACTAAGAGCTCGGCAAACTCAATAAATTATAAATGTGAAAAACTCCAAATTTGTTTATTTTTTGCTGGTTATCTAACATGTACCTTTAAACTTGGCTTTGCACTGGAAACTGTTCCTTAAATATTAATTAAATAAGGGAACATTCATTAAAGGAAAATTGAGTAAGTTTAATGTTAAGTTTTTACTACATTTTCTATTCATGATATTCAGTATTTAGTTGAGTTCTTATAGTACAATTTCTAAACTTGAAAACTTTTCACATAATAGTTTTGTAACTTCTTTGCTCTTTTTAAGTGTAGTGGCTACCTCCACTTGAAATCAAATTTCAGCGCGGACAGGAAGCGACAGCAGGAGCAAAAAAAGTTTCAAACGAAGGGGTTGAGGGTGTTCAACAGGTCAGAGAACCGGTTGCCAGTGCCACCCACTCCAGCGAACCCAGAGTAGAGCCAGCACCCCATCATCGTGGAATCCTTGACTTTGTTAGACAGGCTTCCGCTTTCGGTTTTGCCTCGGTTCGCTTGGGTTTTCTTCTTTTGGGGCAGGTAGGTAAATTTCGTTACTGGCGCCAGTCGACTACTTTATGTTTACGGCTTATGGCTTACACTTTACCGCCGGCTTAGCTGGCAATCGGATTTGGATTCGGATTCGGATTCGGCGCACGTACTCACCTTTTTGAAGGATTTCCAGGTGCTCCCACAAAATATCACCGGTGAACTGCGGCGTGAGGGACAGAAACTCCTCCTTGCCGAGATTGAGCAGGGCACGGCCCTTCATCTTGGAGAAGGGGCCCAGGTTCATGGAGACCAGCGAGAACTCGGTGTTGGCCCATTGGAGCCAGTAGATGACGTGGTCCTCCGTCCACTCACGGGGATCTGCATGGAAACAACAAAATAATTCAATTGGGGGAGTGCGAATGGGGGGAATATAAATGTAAGTATCAATATAAATATAAATAGAGATGGAGATGGAAATTAATCGTTTTCTAATGCCCCGAACTCGGCGGCGACTTAATTAGGCGTGGGAGCGCACTTGGTTATTGCTGTGGGAAACTATTAATATTCATTGCAACTCGGACCGGAACTCCAATTGATAGTTCACGGTTAGTTAGGACTCTATTAGTATGACTTTTCTCAAGAAGTTGGAATCATTTTCTTCTTGTTAGAAGGTTCAGAGATCAGAAGCTTTAACATCTTGATTGTTTACTTTTACAAAGTAAAAGAGAACATTTAGTGATTAAAATATCTCTTTAATGTTACAAAAACTCCTTGTTTCTAATTATTTATATCTCTTACCTTTGGTTATGTTGTATTTGTGAACCTCCTTTTCCCAGGAGGCGAAGGAAGCCTTTAGAACCTCGTTGACCTTGCGATTGGTGCCCGGCGTGAGCGGTGGCAAGGCGGAAGGAACATCTGTAAAATTCATAAAAACAAATAAAACAATAAGTTATGTTGTCAAATCATCTAAAAACAAGTAGTAAAATAAAAATCCTGAAGTGCGAATTCTTGACCGAAAGCGAACCTTTAAGCTTGCCATGATTGGTGGACAGCTGTTGCAGCTTTTGGGCCTTCAGGTGGAATTTTGAGGAGAAGCACTGATAACTGTTGGGCAAGAAGGTCTGGTGGTGGTTATAGTTGGCCGATCGCAGGGGCGGCAGCATGCGACTGTCGTTCCAATCGATCCACTCATTGGTCATAGTCGGGCCAATTAATGTCTTGGCAGGCGAATTGGTTTACGCACTGGGTGTCTGGGGTTAAGAACGGTTCAATTGATCTTAATTGATTGGTGCGGCACAATCTTGACCCGAAATGTCAGTGAAAGTCGCGACCCTTTCACAGTGCTCAATCCGTCAGATACAAATGTATCTTGGGTGTGCAATTGTCGCGCCTTAATTGTGGTAATTTAACATTAATTGCATATATCACAGCACCATTAAGCCATTAACAAATAGATTGTCAGCATTAGCGAACGGGTTTTACGGAGGAAACACAAGCACAGATACCGACACTCCCGTAATTGTTTCTTAAGATTTATTCAAATTTGTTCTTAGTTTTTTGTGGTCGAACAAAAACACATGAAACGGATATTTTTCGTATTTCGCTCGTCGTTCGTTCTGTGTATCTATCGGATTGTTGAATTTGTGAAGCCAAACTGAAACGAAACGATCGTATTCGCAGCTATAGCTGCATATCCCCTAGGCAGCGAAACGAGCGGGAAAGAGAGAGAGCGATCGCGCCGAGAGCCAGATTCCCGAAGAGAGCGCAACAAGTGGGATTGAAACCCGTAAATCTTCCCCCTTCAAGCGGAACGAACTGAAATTCATTCATAAAACTAAGTCTGTGTGAGTTTGCTCTCTCGTTTCTATCAGTGTGTATGTGTGTGTTTGGAACGGAAACGGCCATCATCAGAGCAACAGCAACAACAACAGCAGCAACAGCAAGTAAAACAACAACAAGCTGCCAGGTTGTTTGTTTAGCCGAGAGAAGAAGGCAAAAGGCAACAAAAAACAAAACACACCGACACACGAAAAAATAAAGGCAAAAAAGTAGAAGGAGAACAAACACAAATAAAAGCGAACAATTTTTTTGTACTACATGGCAACAGGTTTCTCGGTGTGCAATCCATGCAAAAAAATTGGGCATTTCGCTTACATTTGATTGATAAGGAAGATCTATGACGCAGGTACTAGTTGAATTTTAAATATATGTACAAGAAAAAAGTAATTTTTTTTTGCTGGTGTCGCGGGGTTAAGTAAAGTCTAAAAGAATTTTTTGTGGGCATAGCAACAGTTGCAATCGATTTGACCAAATTTGAATATGAATTTTGACAGTGGTGGTGTTTCAGGGATAAGCTTTAATTTATTGAATTCTACTAAATGTGGGTACCTATAAGCTATTATATATTCTTTATGATTTGTTCCATGATTTTTTTATAAAAGGTATTCGAGCTCTTTTATCTTTTTGGATCATAATTTTAGAATTTTTTTTTTTGGTTTGTAATTTTTTAACCAGACTGTGGAGCACATATGGCAAATCTACTCGAGTTTCTCCCCTCACATAACTCAGGAAAAAATCCCCAGGCGCACAAGCAATTTATGAATGAATTTCTTGTGTTGCCTCACACGCGCGTTCGCCTGAAAAGAAACTCCAGACAACAAAAAAAAAAGAGGAAGACACCGATATTGTAGTAAGGGAACGCTTCGCATTTCGAAGATACAATACCTCAGGCGGTAGCAACAACAACACCAACAATCGATCGAGACGTCGACGTCGGCAGAGGACGCTTCCGCTGCTTCCGTTCGATGTATCGAACATTGAAAGCCAGCGATAAGGTGAAAGAGGGAGAGAGAGAGGGGCAGAAAGATCCAGGCGGGAGGGAGAAGAAAGAACCGTGGTCAAGGGAGAGGAGGAGAAGGTGGAGGAGGAGGAGGATAAGATAAAGCTATTATTATGATGACTCTACGCGACCAGGTAAATTTATGAATGGATACGATACGATACGATACGAAACGAAACGAGACGAGAAGCGAAACATTGACTCCGCGGCTTTACGTTCATGAATGAATTGAAATTACGTGCGACGAACGGAGAGGCAGGGAGATCATTTGGTCATTATCACAAAACCGCATAATTGGCGACAAATGCAGGGGAAACCCTTTGGCTTTGGCTTTGGCTTTATCTTCTACCACTACGTTTACCTGGGCGACACCGGAAAAAATAAGCCTAGGCTCTTTATCAGCTGGCAAAGTCTGGAGCTTATCACAACAAAATACGGTAATCATATTTTCGCATTTCACATTTAGGTACTCTATTTAAAGAAGTTGCAAAATAAAACTATGTTAATAAAAAGATAACCCCAATCATCATTCATCATTGCTGATTAACATATTTGATCTCAAGGTTCAGTTTAAAGAACTTTAACTAACATCTTCACAAAAGTTCTTTCAGTGTAATAGCTAGTCCCAAGGTGGGCTGCGTGTTAAAGAAATGACTTCTCATAGCCCATGACTATGGGCCCTGTACATATTTGGCATTGCATACATATGTATTATAACAATTATTATGACTTGTAGTCGACGCGAGGCACTTCAAAGCCCAGCACTTACAACTCGAAATTACAAAACGTCTGTGCGTGTTCGAAATTCATTATGCGAACAGTCTTCAAGTCTGAAAGGGGATCCGTCCACTTTGGAGCACCTTTGTGCACCTGGGCCACACACATGGCCAGGGATCGCTCCAATCTTCCCTTGGAGTCAGAGCCCCTCCACTTTAGTGGATGCGCTGCGGTTGGTAATCACACGAGGTGTTCATTGTTCGCTCCTAGTTGCCTCGCTTTTTGCTTTTGCAGCTCCACTTGGAAATGGGTCAATCACGCCTGTCTGTCTGCTGTGCTCCTAGAGCACGAGATGAATTCATTCATATTCACATCCGAATCCACGTCACGCCAGCTTATTTCCCCGAGATTTTTAAGTACTCAAGCTCTGACTAATCTCATTTATTTTATGAAATTTAATATTTACATATTTATAGATGTTTTACTTTGTTGGGTTTGGCGTGATCTTTGCCATTCGGATTATTTTTGCAAATTTGGTTTTGATTATGCTGAATACGAATGGTGCTAAGTGATGTCTAAGTCAGTATGAGTCACCAGATTTTTTTTGCTTTCTCCAAGGAAAGGAAACCAATTTTTGATAAGAGGAAAAAAATCATATGTGCATTTTCTAAAAAAGACACCGAAAAGTGTCTTTTAATCAATGAACGTTTTTAAAAGTGACTCACAATTTTGAGCCATTGTTGCTTTGTAAATTTTTTTACAAAATCTAAAGTTATGCCGGTCTGAAAAAATATATTACATTGCTGCTAAGATTTTCGATCTGGACCAGTTACTCAGGCCTGGAATACGATATGGAAGTCACGTAGTCCACCGGAAAAGGAATCGAGAGCATTAGAAGTAGCAATCCCTGGGATGCCTGAGTCCCAGGCTTGCAATCTATATTTAAAGTCGACGCAGCCTGCAAGTTTTTATGTAATCGCGAGCTAAAGTGACTCTTTGCAATTAGCAAAAAGCTCTCAGGCCCTCTTTCTTATCGCACTTCCCAGAAATATATACGAATACCTCCAGACTACGTTATTTTGGAGCTAATTAGCCTGATAAGAGGTTGAGACCAGCCCCCTGATAAGATGAATATTGTACGTTTTTCCTAGACTCATTCTACTTTTTTTCATTCATAAAAACTCTGGAACATATATTCATATATAACTTAAGCTAAGGTGCTTAAAGTGTTTTATTAACTGTTTCCTGTTGTGCTCAGTTTGCTATTAAACATAATCTAAGATATTGCAATTTGTAAGGAGGGCCTGATTGTCGAATCGAATCAAAGCCAATTTAACACTTTTAGCGCTCTCACCTTTCCCTATTTTACCTGAAAGCGCAACAAGCTGCACGCGATTTTCTTATACAGCAAATTACACCGAAGAAAATGATGTATCTATGATTATAAATTACTAGTATTAGAGTTGAGTTTAAAGGAAATAGTATAGATAGCACAGCTTTTAGAAATAATAACAATAAAATTATATACTTTTATTGCAAAAAATATGATTGACTATAAATATAAAAGTTTAGGCGGTTTATTTCTTTTACAATTTGGAGAAATATTTCCATAATGGTCGAACCTTTCTCAAGTGTAGTAAAAGCCAAAAGGCAAACATTGGAACTCGGCAAACAACTGACAACAGGCGACCACAAAGGCTGCGAACAACATTATTAAATATTTGCCATTGACTTCCGGTCGTTAGATATTTCATTACCAACTTCGACTTCAACTCTGAGTTCCCCGGAGTTGGGGGGCCCAAGCTCCTCTATTAAATTGTTAAATATTCTGCCTTGCATTCGCCTGGGCGGTCGCGATGATGGGATGGAGACCAGAAAAGATAAAAGATGCAATCGAGACCGAGACCAGATGGGAAGGCAGATCCCAATGGCTGGGTAATTATGGCAAAATATATAGTGCAATCGATAGCTGTACCTATAATGAAAGCGTCTGTATATGTAGGTCTCTCCTCTATCTCTCCCAAATACACCTCATTCTGCCATCCCAATACCATCTTTAAAAGGTCCTTTGACAATCACTGAGCTATAAACGAGTAGCGCCTCGGGCCGAACAGGGCAACTAATTTGATTGAAGTTCCAGCTCAAGTTAAACTGCACCGATACACAGACATCTGTATAGTTACATATATATGTTGCCTTGATAAACGCTGCTCATTTAGTGCTTAAATCGTAAATTAAGTCAATAAAAGGGGCGTTATAAGAGGAATTATATAAATACAAATTCAAACAGAGGCAAAATGTGACAAGTTCTGGGAAAATGTTGTCAACATAAAAAAGCAAACCCGAAATAAAATGGAAT